CTGAAGGATCAGGAGCAGCAACAGACTTCCGAAGCAAAGTCTGTGAATTGCTCTTGGTCAGGTTTTATCTCTGATTAGGGACTCATACCAATAAAGAACAACACAGGCGGATCACACTGACACTGTATTTCCTAACACCATTTGCAATATTTAAGAACTTTAATAAATTCTGATATTTTAGACATGTTCACAAACTGATGTCTGTACTTTGCTCTTCACCATTTCTTAACAGTGTTTTGGAGACTTGAAGTTTACTCATCAGGGAAAAAAAAAAAAAGTTGGTTTTTTTTTTGCTAAATACTAAGAAGCTTATATGAAGGTGAACCAAAAACCTTCACCAATACTCAAGCAGAAAGCACAAAACCACAGTGGCTGCAGTGAGCTACAGGAATCTGGGAAACAAAATCATGCAGCAGTTCAATTGTTCATAATCCGAGTTTCCAATGTACCCAATGCAACCAAGATGGTCCCTACATTACAAAATGCCTAAAACTATCGTATTTTAAGTTTCATAACAACGTTATGGAAGATGCAGCTTCCATTCATGAAGGTGGTTGCTTCCCTTCCACCACTCAGAACCCACCCCACAAGCTAAAGCAGCTCAGGAACAGCCGCCAAACTGCAACACTTCTGCCATATCCATTAAGTATTTACTGCTAAAAATTAGAACACCAGAAGGTACCACAAAAGCACTTACTTTATCCAGGTCTGGAACATCAAGAAAATATTCAGGATAAACATAGGAAATGCCCACATTGTTGACTGAAATGAAAGCATGAAGTTTTAATTAGACTGCTGGGGTGACATCTGATTTCTCATGCTCTGATTAATGACAATTCTCAAGCAATACTCTTAAAATGTTGTACTCAAAACACTCCCATCCCTTTAGCCAAGTTTCCTTAACTGTAAATATACTTGTACGCACGCAAGTGGAAGGTGAGATGAATAAGCTGAAAGAGGGGAGATCTAGATTGGATATAAGGAGGAAGTTTTTTCCTGTGCGGGGGGTGAGGCAGTGGCCCAGGGTGCCCAGAGAAGCTGTGGATGCCCCATCCCTGGAGGGGTTCAAGGCCAGGCTGGATGAGGCTTTGGGCAACCTGGGCTGGTGGGAGGTGTCCCTGCCCATGGCAGGGGCTGGAACTCGATAGGTCCCTTCTAACCCAAACCATCCTGCGATTCTGTGATTACACCAGACATTTTAAACGTGGAAATGTTAATTCTGCAATTGTTCAAAAGCCGTCCAAGCGTACAAGCAATGTCACTGCAACAGAGACTTCTGCAACCCTGCAGAAATAGAGCTTCATGCCAGAAAAAACACTCTCGGTGCCTGGCAGGACATTAAGTAAAACAGATTTAAAAAAAAAAAAAGTTAAATAAGATTTTAAAAATTAAAAAAAAAAAAACAAAACACCATCATCTTCTGGCAAGTCTCCCCAGTACTCCTCCGGAGGGGAGGATTGGCCGGGGGTGTCCCGAAGCTGC